ACAAATAGAAACAATAAATAAATAAATAAATAAATTCTGATTTAATTCATTTTGCATTAATTTTCAGTCTCTTCATCACTTACAACCCATGTTAGAATTCAAGAGCATTTGGGGGGGGGGTGAGGATTACCCTGAAGGTCTAGCAAAGTTAATTAGCTCTAAATTGCACCCCCACTCTGCCACTAATGTGTTGAACCCAAGGAAATATTTACATACCCTGCAGGAAAACACTAGATCACTGGTAGGCAAGCCCTGAGCCAGGTCTTTGTGTGACATACAATATTATTAGGACTTATTCCCTGAGGCCTTTCTCCCCCTATCAAGCTGTGTCCCTGAACAGCTTTTGTGGACTAGAGCCCACTTCCTCATATGCTACGAATCTTAAACCAAAATTTGGATTTTTCTTTGGCCAATGCAACTACCTGTTGTTTCTATATGCAGCACATGCCTGTTTGCTAGGCATATACAAGGAGACCTGCTCATTCACTCAGGACTTCTGAAGAACTGGACTCTAGTCCACAAAAGCTTATGCTGGAATACATTTTTATTAGTCCTCAAGGCGCCACTAGATGCCTGCTTTATTGGGGAGGATTTGCTATGGCAGACTATCATTGCCATCTCTCTGGAATCAGTTTCTATGGGTGACCGCCCCTCCCACCCGGCTTCTGGTATGGTACGACGAAGGAAAGATTCTCTCTCCCTTTCCATGCAGCATTCATAATTTTTACAAACCTCTATTGTATCCCTTGTCTGTGTCTTTTCTAAACAACAAATCCTGACAGTCTTTCCCCTGTAGGGTATGTGCTCTAAACCATTGATCGTTCTGGATTTCTTTTTATAAGTGGGTCTGCTCAATCATATAGAAGGCAGAGGGGGGGTCTGAATTTTACAGCAAAAAGGACATGCACGTTAGAAGGAAAGGAGTCCTCCTACCCACCATCAGCTCTCCCCAGTGGCTTTTCTCCTTAGCCAAGCTTCAATAATAGAAGTACATCTCATGGCAGGCAGAAGGTCCCAGGTTCAGACCCCGGCATCTCCAGTGAAAAGGATCAGCTAGGAGGTGATGTGAAAGACCTCTGCCTGAGACCCTGGAGAGCAACCGCCAGTTTGAGTAGATACTACTGATCTTGACGGGCCAAAGGTCTGATTCAGTGTAAGGCAGCTCCCTGTGTGTTCACATTCTCAACTGTTCTAGGAAGACCTGGAATAAACTTTTAAGGTCCTTGGTCATTTGCATATTCCCTTGTTTTTCTCAATTTTTAAAAAAGTCACTTTGACAGTTGGAATGGTCTCTAAAAGAAGATCTGTAGTGACTTGACTCCTTTGGCCTTTTCTTATCGAATCAATCGTTTTGGTAGCTTACCTAAGGCCAGAATTCCCCTCAGTATGAGATGGATCCAGAGTTTTGGTTGTTGTTGAGGGGTTTGGAAGTTTTTTTGGCCTGTTTTTGTTTTTGATGTGCGTGTGTTTTCACCATAGCAACGTGGATTGCAAAGGAGCCAACCACACGTAAAGGGATTGAAGCAGAAAATACATATTTGAGAGAGACAGCCACAGCTACGGGCAGCAATTATAGCCCCGACCCTCCGTGGATGAGAGCCCTGCTTCCTCATCCCAAGAGGACTGCGCACAGACCCTGGTGCTGCAGAGCAAATACAAAATAGATACACACGCCCTCCTCAGAACAGGGTTTCCTCATTATACCCTACCTTTTCTACATTTTCCCTATGGGTTGACTGAGTCTCTCGCTCTTTCTCTCTCATAGTTTTATCCCACTCTTTCTCTGAGGAGCTCAGAATTTTCCCCTCCTTCATTCTGTCCTCACAATGACCCTGTGAGGTAGATCAAGCTGAGAGTGACTGGATGACACGAAATTGTTCAGGGTGCTGAAAACCAGGGAGGATTGTGAGGCACTCCAAAGGGGTCTGTCGAGGATGGGCAAGTGGGCGTCAACATGGCAAATGGGGTTCAGTGTGGCCAAGTGCAAAGTGATGCACATTGGAGCCAAAAATCCTAACTATAAATACACGTTGATGGGATCTGAACTGGCAGAGACTGACCAAGAGAGAGATCTTGGAGTCGTAGTAGATAACTCACTGAAAATGTCGAGACAGTGTGCGACTGCAATAAAAAAGGCCAATGCTATGCTCGGGATTATTAGGAAGGGAACTGAAAACAAATCAGCCAGTATCATAATGCCCCTGTATAAATTGATGGTGCAACCTCGTTTGGAATACTATGTGCAATTCTGGTCACCACACCTCAGAAAGGATATTATAGCATTGGAAAAAGTACATAAAAGGGCAACTCGAATGATAAAAGGGTTGGAACACTTTCTCTATGAAGAAAGGTGAAAGCGCTTGGGGCTTTTTAGCTTGGAGAAACGATGACTGAGGGGTGACATGATTGAGGTTTACAAGATTATCCATGGGATAGAGCAGGCAGAGAAAGAAATACTTTTCTCCATTTCTCACAATACAAGAACTCGTGGGCACTCAATGAAATTGCTGAGCAGTCAGATTACAATGGATAAAAGGAAGTACTTCTTCACCCAAAGAGTGATTAACACATGGAATTCACTGCCACAGGAGTTGGTGGCTGGCGGCTACAAGCATGGACAGCTTCAAGAGGGAATTGGATAAACATACAGAGCAGAAATCCATCAGTGGCTATTAGCCACAAGGTATAGATAGGAACTCTCAGTCTGGGGCAAGTGATGCACTGTATTCTTGGTGGTGGGGGGGGCAACAGTGGGAGGCTTCTAGTGTCCTGGCCCCACTGCTGGACCTCCTGATGGCACCTGGTATTTTTTAGCCACTGTGTGACCGAGTGTTGGACTGGATGGGCCATTGGCCTGATCCAGCATTGGCTTCTCTTACGTTCTTATAACCGAGGTCAGAGGTCACCCAGTTAGCTTCATGGCTGAGTAGGGATCCCCAACCACCCCAATTGTATATCCTGTGGGGTAGTTTAGGCTGCCAGAGCCACACCTGGATCTCCCTGACATTCGTCTAATCACAGTGTTATTACTGCAGTATTTGAGGACTCTGTTCTTTCTTGTTTCTGCTGCTGTATCGACCTCTCAATAGAAAGAAAGAAAGAATTAGACTAAGATTCCTTAACTCTAGCTGTTTTCTTCTTCTTTTTCACTTAGAGGCAGAATAAAGGTATCTCCCCACCCTGCTTCTCCACCTTTACCTTTCCCACTTTCTTTCTTAGTGTCTTTCTGAAAGTAGAACTAATCCTTTTACTGATCCGAACTTGAAGGGAAAAGGGTGTGGGAGAGAACTGAGATAGTAGCAATGAATCCGTCCTCTCAAGAAGGGTTTGCCAACTTCAGTGATCCCTTCAGACAGGGATCTTTCTGGCAAAGGGACCCTTGCAAGTCCATCATGGAATTCCAGCAGGATGCAGCACATTCTAGCTGTCAGTTCATGACTCTGGACAGGCCTCTGGGGCCACACCATTACCTGGTGCACATGAAGAATGTACCACAAGCATATCAGACTTGTGGAGCTGTCTGTTGTATGGGGAAGACCAGCACTAGTCAAACCTTTTCCTATTCAAGAGCCCCTGAGAAGCTTCCAAGGAACTGTGGAAACCCCAAAACATGGTAGCCCTGTTTACAGTGAATGTTTGTTCATCCTGCATGTACGTGCATTACACCTGTTTGTAAGAAAAAGCCAACATACATTCACTTTTCAGATGAAACCAGGGAGCTGTACCTGGATAAATACAGGGTTTCAATCACACGTTCAGCTGTACATGCATTGAATGTAACATGAGAATTACTCATCGTACATCTAAAGAACAATGACGCATACCCTGTATGTTGATTGTATATGCATTCACTGTAATGTGAACAACGCTACTATGGAAATCTGATGTGGAGGGTCTATTATTCAGCAAACAACTTTTCTTGGGTATAGTAATCCTTGTTTTTTAGATGATAAACAGGATGCTGACCTCTGTACCCAACTCTTCATGGACACAGAATGAAGCAAAATGCCCTGCTTTATCCAACAATCATCTGCTCTCGGAGCAATAGGAGTCAATGTATAGCTCTGTTGGAAGGATTGTCTCCTTATTCTTTGCTCTTTTAAATGCCAGCCTGCAGACCACTGGAGTGCTTTGGGAGGGAGACGAACAAAGGCAGATTTTTCACAAAATGCACAGATACCCTTAAATAAAACCCATTCAGTTTTCCATGTCCGCTTACAGGGTCTTTAGAGGAGGCGATGCACATCCCGTGGGAGGAATTAAATGTAATTACCAGTTAGTTTGAGTTAGTGCATTTTAATCTGTGCAGTGGGGGAATGATGGTTTGGCATTGAATTCTCTCCTTGTGCGCTTTATTAGGAAGAACGTCAGGAAGATGCAGTGTGACAGAAAGTAACTGGAATGCGTGTGTCGGCGTGTGTAATACTGTGGCTTTGGGGTTGGGTACTAATTTAGGTGTGCAAGGCCATCCAGCCCTAAAAGATGAAGCAAGTAATGGTACATTAGTAGCAGAGAGATCAACAACAAAAATCCAGATTAAAATAGAATAAATAGCACCTAATGTGTACTAAAACAGTAGCCTAATCCCAGCTCCCCCCCTCCCAGTGCTATTTTCCCAAGCTGAAACAGCCCCAACAGGGTAGGGAGAGTTATTACCCCATTTTGAAGCTGCAGCCACATGCCTATCGGACAGCACTGATGATTCTGTGGATTTAGGCAGATCATGAAAGAGAGGAAGGGTTGAATCAGTGCTTAGTAATCTTGTGGCCCTTTCTTACATGCCTAGGGAAATGCCAGTCACCAGTTTCGGATCAGAAAGCAATTTTCTCCAGGCCAGTTTGGCCAGGGATCCTGGGACAATTTTTTTTGGGGGGGGGGCATCTTCTGGGCATGGAGCAGGGGTCACTGGGGGTGTGGGGGGTGTTTCTTAATTTCCTGTGTTGTACAGGGGGTTGACTAGATGACCTTGAAGGTCCCTTCCAACTCTATGATTCTATGATTTACTACATGTGAAGCCTAGACCTGACTAATTGATAAACGTATCATTTAGATTGGCCCTGAGGTACATCCTCGTTGCCTTATGCCTGTCTCCTGCAAGAGAATAATTCAGGCTGCTTCTCCTCTCCTTAGTCAACAGCCAGACTTAGAGCTAATGCCCACTCAAAGCGTTCTGGGATCTCTGCCATTCTCCATTGCTGTGATTTTTGCAAGCAAGTGAGCTTAAGCTGGGAGGCAACCCTTAGAGGCACACTGGTAGTGAGGGCATTATGTACCTCTGCTGGTGTGCCCTGATCGGCTTCCTGTCTTGCCTGCCTCCAATGTGCAGTTGACTCTTGGCCAAGTGCAGATTGTTACCCACCCCTTAGTCTGTGCACATCAAGTGTGCTCGTTTTCATTAGTGTAGATCCTTCCGCAGAACTACACATCCAGTTGTGAGTAGCCCCAGCAGACTTCTGACTTGTGAGGAGTGGTGGCCAGAGATCTTCCCTTGCAGCTTTAGAGCCAGTCTGTTCCATCTACCCTGTGCTGCCTGGAAAAGGAAACTTGCAAACAACAAAATATCAAGGCCACCTCCCGTTGGGCTCAGTTTGCTACCCCACAGTAGTGTCAGGGCATATTAACAGGCTGTGAGAGAAAAGCTAGATGTGCTGAGAGAGAGGAATAAAATAGCTAATTTTTTTTAAGTGATGGCCCGCCTTTCTCCCCAAGGTGGTTTACAACGTCATTCTCCCCTCCTCCATTTTATACTCACAGCAACATCCATGTGAGGTAGGTTAGGGTGAGGGATTGGCCCAAAG